TTCTAATCTTTCCAATGGACATTTTATTCCTGCAAATGGGAACCATGTGATCCATCAACTGGTGCTTAAAGCTCAGTTTTTTGCCATGCTTTGACTGCCTTCCATCTTTCCTAATTCACACAATGTAAAATGCAAGAACTTTTATAAAGACCACAAATATATAAACATTTGGATGGAAAATAACTTTTAAAATTTTCTCAGAAACTGCTTATAAACAGAATTCATTAAATAGTTGGGGGGGTTGTAAAAAAGTTGTTTTTGTAAAAATGTTTTTTGTAAATTTGTAAGACACCAAAAATTTAAGGTATTCATTGTTAGGCCATTTTGGAACAGTTAACCTTTTGAACCATTCTTAGGGTATGCTGACCCCTAAAGGTCTAAAGACACTAAATATTTCCAAAAGTGATATCAAATTTACAATATAATACAATTAAAGACGAGAATTCAAGTATCAACTAAGTTACTAAACGAAGAACACTTTTGTTTTCAAATGTATTGATTCAGAAATATTTTTCAAGGAATTCACATTATGAATATTAAAAAGGTGTCTAATGCTAATTTTCTACATACTGCATACCTACAAAATTCTCCATGCCAACGTATATAACAGTCATCTTCCCCAATAAAGAATGCTTTCTCTGCTTTGCAAACAAAGTTCGTTTTATGATATACTTGAAACTAATTCTATTTGGAAAAAAAATAGGAAAGTACAAATCCAGAGAATAAAAATACATTATATACTACCAAGTTTTTTCATAGGAGACATCTTTATGGGTAAAGCCTGAATCTCTGAGCATAGATAGGAAATTATGGGAGAGCACCATTTGCCTATGTGCTTCAGCCTTCCTTTGCCTGTCCTTGCCTTTCTACATGGGCCACTTCATGACGCATCATCTTTCTGGCACTCATTTTCTACAAAAGGTATGATGCTTCTTTAGAAAATTCAACTCTTAGGATCATAGGAAAATAGGGCTAGAAGGGACCTTATGGGGTCATCAAGTCGAGACCCTTGATCAGAGAAGGATCATCATCATTAAGTCATCTCAATAAGTGTCTGTCTAACCTTCTCTTGAAATTTCCAGGGCTGGAGATTCCACAACTTCTGTGGATAGTCTGTTCCCATACTTGACCACCCTTATAGTGAGACAGTTCTTTCTAATCTCCAGCCTAAATTTTCTCTGCTCACAGGCAGATCCAGGACTTCATCAAAGGGACTGGGGGGGTGGGGGATGATGTAGGAACAGTAACTGATATTACAGGGGTGGCTGCACTCCCAGGAGCAGCAGCTGGGAACTTTTTGAAGTCCTCAAAGTAGGTAAGAATCCCGCCCCCACTCTCCACACCTCCTGCCTTCCTGTCCATGTTCATCAGCACCAAGGCAGTGGAAGGCCAGGGCTAACAGGACTTAGGCCCCCCGAAACACGGAGCAGTAGTGGCAGTGCAGAGAGCCACAGGGCAGCCTGAGCATGGGCACACACAGACAGACAGGCAGGCACAGCCTGCTGCAGGTGGCGGCCAGGAACACAGCTCAGCATCATGTGGAATAGTGCCCAGCAAGTAAGTGTGTGGGAGGAAGAGACATTGGGGGGGAGAGATTGAGGCCTCCACAGTGAGGGAGGGAGTAGAGCAGGGGCTGGGGTGAATGGTGCCCCAGGGCAGGTCATGGGACAGTTGGAGCCCCGGGAGGCTCGTCCAGGGCTGCAGGGAGGCTCCTGCCCCTGTGCGCACCTGGGGAAGGCATGGGGGCCACGTGTCCCCCAGATCTGTGCACAGGGCAGAGCGGAGGTGAGCTGCTGCTGCATGTTAGGACTCTGTGCCCCACTGTCATTGCTTTGGTAGCCACACGCTGGCTGCACCATGTCCCCTGCCCATTCAATGACAGGAGGTGCATGGCATGGCATGGCACGGCATGGCTAAA